ATATGAATTAAAAATAGAATTAATAATAAATTAAATTAATTAATATAAATTACTTATTCATCTAATTTAGTAGTAATCAGTGATTACTACGTCATATGCTATGGCTGCACTATTTACTGCGCTGCATCTACTATATCACATGAATAAGCTAATTGGTTATAATATTTAAGTTATTTTTTTCTACTAGTTCTTTAATAGTAATTATAATAGTCAATAATATATATAATTTTATTATTTCATTAATTACTATTTATTTAATAATTTCAAATTATTTAATCTTATTATTATCTTTGATTAGATAACTGTAATTAGATAAATTTTTGAAATATTTAATATAAATTGTTTGAGTTAAAGTAATATATATTATTTTTATTCTTGCATCATACTTTTCAGAATTAAGCTTGCTAGTTTTTTTTTGTTTCTCAATAGGAATATCTTCTTTATACATACTTAATTCTTTATATTTTGCTAAATAACAGAAGTAAATAATTCAAAAATCATTATTCTTAAACTTCTAATTATTATATTACATCTATATGTTAAAAATAAGTAATCACAAATTTTCATGAAATTCCTTTTCTGAAACTTCAAATAATTTATCAATATTAAATATACTAAGATATTTTTTATTCATTACTTGCATATTAGAAATAAAAAAATGATAAGAATATATAAAGAAATTACATGTATAATGAGTGAGTATATTAATGCATATCTTAATAGTTATATATATTTTAATATTAACAGTTGTAAATGTTATTAGTTTTAATAAACTTAATTAGCCTGCGTTTAACATAAAAATCATAATTAGCTTCCATTCCTCTTCCCACCCTTGAATGTTTTCTTGAAAAGTTTATTTTATTTTGCATGTAACACTACATGTAAATCCGAATCAAATCAACCCAGACCGACTCAATCCGGATTGCACTACCCCGCTTTAGTGTTCCCTCCGATTTGATAATATGAACAATGGTCCAAATCGGAAAAATGGAGACGCTATGGCAAAAAAAGAAGACGGTATTTCCACCGCCATTCTTTTCGCCGGGGACTGTACAATCTCATTCCATTTTTGACCTAGGAATGCTTGAATCATAAAATCTGGCCTGTTACCCCTTGCACCATTCTTTTGTTTGGCCTTGCGATTCTTACTAGCTACACTTTGACGCTCATTTCTTGTTACTTCAACTTCACTATTAATTCTATTAATTGGTAATTGATATATAGATACGTCAATTAGACGAGCCACAACTTCCACAAGAGTATTCTCAGAACCTCTAGAAATTCGATGGAAAGAATTTGTTTTTATCAATTGCATAAGGCATTCTGTAATATCTCTTGCAATCCATTCTCTATCATTCTCACGCTCAACCCAGTGATCATGGACTATAGTCATGTTTTCTGCTACTACAAATCTACATGCTTCTTGAAATTCATTTCTTCTTCTAACAAAATCAGCGCAAACATTTTTTATCGAAGCATCCTTACTTAATCTCCTTATTCCTGCTTTCTCCCCTGCAAGTACGTCAAAGTCACTTTCGGATAATTGGTACTAAGGTCAATTACACCGTTACATAAAGGATCATCACAAGTCAAATCGTTTATATTTATATCACATAATTTCCTAAAAAGACGTTTATGTCTCCGTTCTTATAGATAAAAGAGTTGGTAATCAGATATCAATAGCTTAAGTTTACATTAACTATATCATAAGTCATTTAGAATACCTTCAGTTTATCTTTTACATTGTCTATAGTACATTCAGCTTCTCTTCTCCAATCTGTTTGCTCCTTAAATTTATTACGAGCATCCATTAACGTTTTGAGTTCATTCCACGAGAATCGTATCTGTAAAAATACAAAAACTTAGATTATTAAGATTCAATGAGATTTGTTTGTATTTAATATAAATATCAATCAGCAATCGCTAGCGATCTAATGGCAGTGTCAGGATAGATATTCGGACATTTTCTCTATAATGAGTTAGAAACTTGCCCTTCAAAAATATGTTGAACGAGATAAAAAACAAACACTGCCATGGGTACCCTTTATATAAATTGTACTATCATCACAGCAGTACAATGAGGTAGGTTCTCGCTGGTGACTTATAATCACTGCTTACTCAACGTCATTGTACAAAACTAAGGATTTGACGATTTTTTTCATCATATTATAACTTATATTATCAAAATATTATTTTTATTAGAATAACCTTATCAGTATCTTTCAATTCCTGAAGATGATTCTTTCGACCATTATCAACGTCTACATCTGACATATTCTCCAACAGGTCCACAATATGTTCACAATCCAATTATATACAATAAAGGTGATATATTTAAAGTGTTTAAATATTGCAAGAACAAGAGCCAATATAATATGTATTTTTTTTTCACGATGGGAGCAAAAAGCTACTTCTTCTGTTTCTAACCCAACAACACTCCATAGTTCGTGAATTATTCTAGAGATGGATAATCGCTCCAATGTTTCATTTTTTTAAGAATTCTCTAAGAATGATAAATTCATTTGATGAAGCAAAGATAGACATATTTAATAATCTGCAGTAAAAAAATGTGAGATGGAACTATGTGAATCATGCGCAACTATGACATCATAAAATTAATCGTTCGTCGAAATTGTTCTCTTAATTAGAAAATTCTGACCGATAGAATATATAGTTATATGCGGGATCATGAGCTTATATTCTCTGCATATATAAATACCAATGCTTTTCACACGTATTGTTCATCCATTTACAATAAAAACAAATTCAATCGTACGTTGAAATCGTTATCCTAATCGACTATGACCAACTAGTGCTAGTGGTAGATCCTCAAAACTTTTCTCGATATGAGTTAAAACCTTTCTAGATAATATCTTTGATGAAGGTATTACTCTCAGTAAAGACTAATACCCAGACTATATGTATCAAATCACCGATAACGTTGCAAAAATCGATACTCGTTCATTACAATATCTGTCATCTCCTCTTGATCTGTTATTAATTCTTGAAAAAACTGTCTGTAATTGGGAGACGGACCTTTTCAGGCTCGAACCCTATATACTGGGACAATTTTTCACGTAATTCAGCCATTTTATATATTACTGGACCTTTAATATAAGTTTATTTTGAATGCACAAAAAATGAATTGCATTTTAAGAATGAATAAAGAATCAAATCAAATAGGTCTTAATCCCTAAATACGATATAAATCACATAATCTCATATATTCGATAAATAGGTCATAAAATGAGTAATTTCAGCAGTTTAATAGCTCTGGTTCTAAATGCTCGAATGAAGAATGGGAAGAATATATATGGATGGGTATTGTTAAATTAAATGAAACACCTAGTGAGTTGAGGAGATCGAATTTTATCTCGTCTCTAATCAGATAAGCATTTAAAGTTTTATAACCAGCGTAATTAATTATAAAAAAATCGGTTCTGGCAATTTCGGGTCATTATAGCCAGATTTCGGTATAAACAGGTTCGGTATTGGCAGCGTCGACTGTACTTGTTTATTATATTTTATACGCGTAAAAACCTATTTAAGAGAATGTTGTGTTATCATCTTTGTGTTTAATAAAATTGTCGATATGTTTAATATTAACAAAAATATAAAGTGCACACTAAATCTGTATATACGCGTTCACTCTTGTTAGCTTTGGTTGATTGTTCGCGTTTAGATCATGACGTCTGCCGAGATTTTGAAAGACATGAAAGCGGCTGTTCAACATCCCTATTCCAGATGCTGGGACTGTCAAAGAAGAACCAAATAAGCGCGTTAATGATGTTAAAAATCAATGGTTAATTTTGTTTTTAGAACAAGGAATCTGTATACAAAAAACAGCATGTCTATAAGTGTAATTTGGTCAATTTTAGCAAAAAACCTCCCAAAAATCTATGGTATAAATAACTTTTGATTTATTGATAAATGATAACACAAATCAATGGAGTGGGATAATTGGCAATACCAAATATCACTGAAATATGTATTGATTACAAAATTAAGCTAAAGTAAATGATCAAATTTTATTATCACTATTATTGTTTGATCCATACATCAAAATTCTCGAGTTGCTTCTGATTTCCTGAGATTTGTTACAAACGACATTGAAAGGTTAAGAAGCAATATAGTAGTAAGCTCACATAAAACACCAACAAGAAAAATGCAGATGACTCGCAAACAACTGGCACATCAATTAAAGTAAGTAAATCGTATCTATTATCCCAACAATGTCAGATTACCTAACGTTACTAGGTGAGTCCATATTTTCGTGATACTGGGCCATACTAAGCACGTACTTTATAAATTATTATTTGTACATGCTAGTATAATCCCAATCCTATCTCATCGCTAATATTTTATATATTTATATTATTATTATTATTATTATTATTATTATTATTATTATTATTATTATTAATTATTTAAATAATATTTTTTTATTAACAAATTGTAGAAAATATTAATAAAGTTTGTAATAGTTAAAACAAGAGGAGATATTGGGTAATGTGGCAAAATCGCATTATCTCAGGCATATAAAAAATGTTACTACTTAATAAGTAATAATCTGTATTTTGTAATTATTGCTGCCATAAAGAAAAGATAATAAATAACAAAAAACCGGTTACAATAACCTCTAGCCGCTACACGACTTGTTTAATTAGCGAAATGAAAAGACACAGCCGCTAAAGAAAATTTGATATCTATTACAGCACCATGAATCGGATCACTGAAGGTCAAGATATTACGTCCTAAATTGACCGATTCATTTTGGTTAGTGTCAAGAAAAATGAATCTGCTACTTTAAGACGCAATATTTCGACGTCCAGTGACCCGATTTGAACAAAAATACGACCATTTGATTCGTCTAGTCGAGACGAATCAAACAGTATTATTTTTGTTCAAATCGGGTCACTGGACGTCAAAAATTAGATTATTGGATATTGAGATGTGTGCTATGAAATAACTGATTATATTTGGGACCTGAATATACAATAAGCTCTACCAATCTATAAAAGGTATCATGATCAGCATTTGTAATGTTCTTTGTGCTCGGAAAAATTTGGTGCATTATACATGATCTACGAAAAGTGAGGGTCGGATACTTCCGGAGCACTGTATGATACTATTGGTCATGCAAGATGTTAGGTTTGAAATTGTCTGCAAGATTTTTGACGTAAATAGCGGATAGTAAACTTCCACTGTAGATATTAGACCCTGTTTTCGAAATTTCTAATAAAAAAATAAGCTACATGGATATTCTAATTTTTACATCTGTAAATAAGGCTATATACAAATGGGCCATTTTGAAAAAATACCTGTCGTTATCGGCAACGATTTTTTCTTGTACATTTTCTAAAAAAATCTCAAATGAAAATTATCCTAACGATTTACAGTACTCCCGCAACCGTGTAAGACCTTTTCATACCATCAGATATTTCAAAATATTTGGGCGCCAATGAATTCCAATATCGTGATTGTACGTGTATTACGTTATGTACTGTTTCAATGCAATCTTTGCTTGGTTTCATGGGTGGTAGACTTTCGGGCGCTTCACCGAGCAATACTCTAACGCAAGATAGGGCGCAAAGGCTCATCGAGTCAATATTGTAGCCACCCTAATTTCCCATAAAAATTTTCCTCGAAGATTCATCAAATGTTAAGGAAATCAAAAAAAGCTCTTTTAACTATATTACCTCTAGTACTAATACAAGCTTGCCATTTGCTAAAGTTTTGAGCCGATGAGTCATATGCCCAAAAGCTTTCGGAGTTACATAATTTTCACCAATTGAATCCCCTTTTTTTTTTGAGAAATTAAAATTAATAAAATTAAAATTCCCATATTTAAATTTCAAGTTCACCTGCAGCAGCATCGAATCCCGCCGAAACTATAACAATATCGGGGGCAAATTCATCAGCTATAGGCATAACAATCTTATCGAATACATATATATAATCATTGTCATCCATCCCAGCACGAGACCAGGGAATGTTAATGTTTCTGGTCAATTAAAGTTATTCAGAACCTAAATATTAAAATAAAAGAAATAAAAATAAAAAAGTAAAGAATTTACCGTCCTTTCGCCGCCCCAGATCCGGTATGGGTGTAGTTTGCTTGTTCAGATCCTGGATAGAAATCTCCATTTTCGTAGCGATGTATTGAACAATAAACGACATCTGGGTCATCATAAAACGCTTTTTGTGTTCCGTTTCCTGTTAATTAAAACCTCGTTACTTTATATTGTTAGAACATATCAAAATTCCTTATAATTACCATGATGAACATCCCTGGGATAAGAGATGACAAAAAGTATTACTTAAAATTTCGTATCAGCATGAAAACTATGCACCTTTTATTTCCTCTTACCAATCGACAATTAATATTTTATCGACCTTATAATGTTTCTTCAGACATTGGGCTGCGACGGCGACATTATTGAAGAGGCAGAATCCCATTGCCTCCTCTGGCTCAGCATGATGTCCTGGAGGTCGGACATTTGCAAAACCGTTTGTCACTGTTCCCTGCATCACAACCTTACAAAGCTCAATTACTCCGCCGCAAGCAAGGCGTGCACAGAAAGCAGAATCGTTATTTAAATAAATAGAATCATATTTATCCATAGCTTCGATTATTTGATCAAACTTCATTACTAAATAAATTTCGTTTAGATCGAGTAATTTATGCATTAAGACAATAAATAATTCAACAGATTAAAGGCTTACCTGCAGTTTTTTCAACTTCGCACCAGTGCTTGTCAGAGTGTACCAAACATATCTCTTCTTTTGTTGCTATTCTTGCCGGTATTTTTACGAGTTGTTCTGTGCATTTGTATTGTTCAAGGACCTTTGCTACACTAGTTATTCTTCTTGGGTCCTCCGGATGGAAGTCTGATTGGATCAAATCGGCGTGAAATCGTAACCTTTCATCGTGTACGAATCCTGTTCGATTCTGCTTGAAAGGCTGCGGTTTAGAATTTTCAAATGTAATTGTGGTGGTTGTTTGAGAGTGCGATCCTGGCCTCATTACAGTTCTTTTGACGTTAGGGTCAATCGTGACAAATGGTTCGATATCTATATCCATTTCTGCAGTATTCATTTTTCAATTTAAATGCAAGTTCTAAATAATTTAATTCTATACAAGTAACCGTATTGTATATTATTTCACGATGGCCCTTTTATACAGGTTATGCAGGATCAAGGACTGTGCAGGCGTGTGAAAAGTGATAAATTTCTTTAAACTCTTTTCTTGATTTACACGAGGCTTTTATGTCTTTTTCAAAAAATTTAGGAAACCATCTTTTAATCATTGAAACACGCCAGAGTTTCTGTAAAGTTTGATATATTATTTTGTAATTATTTAAAAATTCATTGTCAGATTTATTAATTTCGGATTTATATTAATAATAAACGTCTGAAAATGTCTAAATTGACTCGACCATCTCTGTCAATCCATAATTAAAATGCCAAGCTTATTTATTAAATAGCGATGACATTCGGGTTATTAGAAAAATCGAGATTTGTTATAGATTTTTTTTTGAGCTCAATTTCACTATAGCAACAAGTATGACTTTATATAGAGATACGTGTTTTAAGAGACCTTCATTGCAAGATGCTTAAAAGACTGAAATTGATCTTTGAAAACTTATGGCACATCATGCAAAAGTGGTCAAGAAAAAGAAGGCCGCCAATTTGTATCAAACCCAATTAGCGGCCTTTTTTTTAAAAAAATTTGTTATCTTCGGAGTTATAACGATTCTAAAACACTGAGCAGCGGCAAATGAGTTCTGGTTGGTCGATCGCAAGTCGCGTAATTTCTTGGCAGGCGCTCGGAAAAATTCAGATGTATAGAAAACGGAATTTTGGAATGAATATATATATGTTACAAATTGTTGAATGATTATCCCCATTCCATTCATCATTTTTTTTATGAAAAAATGCCTTTTAAACAAAAACGAATAACTGCATATAGTCGTGCACTGAGGATTTTCGTTTATAATAATGGAATTTTATTGTCATTTTTGTAGTCATTCAATTAAATGGAACATAAAACAAATTATTATTTCGTATATTAATGCAACAAGTCATAAAAAATTAAAAGAAAATCTTGTACAAATAACACAACAAACGTTAAATTCGATATTTAAATATAAGTATTTACGCAATTTATTGTAATATTAATTTAAATTGATTCTTGGAACAAAATTTCATAACAATTAATTATATTTGGTTACCAATTTCATAATGTAATGTAGAACGTAGTTTTAGTCCTTTTAACAAGATTTTACAAACACCCGTGATACTATTCTGGGAGTTGTGATAAGCAATTGTTCCTTATTTATATCTGAAGCGTTAAAGCTTTTTATATTAGGAATCACTCGATTAGATTTTTCTATATTAATATTCGTGACCAAAATCTAAATATGATACATACTTCGAGTTTTTGATTATAAACTTCGGAATAATTTCAACGCAATTTCTCTAAACGCGAAATAATATCCCGGATCCCGGGATTTTATTCCGTGTCTTTACGGTATATAAAACCGGGTTAATCGGATATGCGTAATTTTTACTCCGGGTGAATATGATACAATCTCTAGTAATAATACCCTATGTTCGAATTTGAATTAATTTATGATTTCCAATCCAAATCTCTTAAAGTTTAAAATTTTATTTTTTATATTAAAATAAAGTTCATAATTTATAGTTTAACATATTTAATTTGCTATTCCTGCTGCAATTGCAATTGTTCTTGTTCCTGTTGTCCTTGTTCCTGTTGTCCTTGTCCCTGTAATTCTTGTTCCTGTAGTTCTTGTCCCCGTAGTTCTTGTCCCTGTAGTTCTTGTCCCTGTAGCTCTTGTCCCTGTAGTTCTTGTCCTTGTAGTTCTTGTCCCCGTTGTTCTTGTCCCTGTTGTTCTTGTCCCTGTTGTCTTTGTCCCTGTTGTTTTTGTTCCTGTTGTTTTTGTTCCTGTTGTTTTTGTTCCTGTAGTTTTTGTTCCTGTAATTTTTGTTCCACCAATTTCTGTGAGTATAACTGTCTTCGTGCTAACGAAGAGTTTTCTGGTATAGGTTTGCGTGGCTGTTTGAAAATAACGTTTTTCGTGGTACGTTTATATGGACTAAAACGACCACCTTTTTTGCTCCTCACGGTGAATGTTTTTCGTTTTGATTGGCGCGAATCATTTTTATTGGGATAGTTTTCTTTGTCGGTAGAGGTTTTTAATGCAGTGACTTTAGGTTTTTCTTTATCAATGGTCGGTTTTGATGATGTGACTTTGGATTTTTCTGTGTCAGCGGCCGGCTTTGATGATGTGACTTTTTCTTTCACGGTGGATGGTTTTGAAGATGTAACTTTGGATTTTACCTTTGATGAGGAATTAGTCGCTGATTTTGTTACGTTGGAGAGCGGTTTCTGATTATTATTATTTTGATTGCTATTAGCAGCCGGCTGGCTTTTTTTTTCCTCATTATTATTC